CCACACCTTGGGGATTTTAAAGGGGTGGGAATTACCCCCCCAGATATCCCCGACCAAGAAGGGGGGGGGGGGGAATTCTGGGAGTTGAAGTCCACACGTCTTAAAGCTGCCAAGGTTGAGAAACACTGGCTTAGAGCCTCATTTCGGCAAATGTGGTAATGAGGGATTTCTGAGGCGGCACAGAAAGAAGCTGTGTGCATGGTCAGTAGGTCACAGGTTCCGCATGCCTGCTGTGCAAAATATTAGATCTCTCTTATGAACTTAAAGAATGAGAATTACCTTCTGCGGTTGCTGTGCCAGTTGATGCCTTTGTTGTCAGTATGCAACAGAGTGTATGACAAGAACACGAACATAACAGCCACTATGTAGGACAGACAGGCAGAAGACCAGCAGAGTGCATCCATGAACACCCACTAGCGGTCAGGAGACATGATGGAAACTCCTTAATGTCACAACGCATGGACAGACTCAACCATAGTTTCAACTGGGAAACTGGGAGCACCCTAGACCAAGTTAAATCCAAAAAACGCTACGGAGTTCCTGGAAGCTTGGCATTCAGACAAGTCAGCCACCAATAGACATGTAGAGATAAACCACATTTACACACCATTCAAAAGAGACAATAAAAAAAGCTAAGAAGGAAACCAAAAGACCAGAACACATCCTCTCCAGCAGCCGACACCCAGATAAGCAGGGATTCACACCAGACAAACAATCAAGCAGAAAACAATACCCTAATTAAGGAAATACCAAGGAGAAAACCACACTTCCACCAACACTGGCAGAGCAAGCTACTGTATATAAACAGGGAGCAAACCCCACACTCACTAGCACTGATGATGTTACCTAGTTGGGTGATGAAATGTCTGCAAGCAAACAACTGAGCTCAGAGAACACCGAGGACTCCTCAATATGCACAATGTCAGTCAATTGTAGAACGGCACATTCTTGTTAAACAATCTCTCTCTCTCACACACACACACACACACAAAACCCAATAGTATTTGCAACCTAGTCTCTAGTTATCATCTTGAGAAACCCCTGAAAAATCATGATGTCCAGGATTTAAAATGACTGAACTGCCCCACTGGGCCCTGAGACTGCCTCTGATCCAACAGACTTTGCACGTGCAAAAACCTGTGCAAACGGTTTACAACGGTAGGAGGAATACAACAGGCATCAATCTACATTTCAAACTGCTTTGATTCTCTGGATAAAAAGGCGGGGAAGGGAAAACAGCAAGCTGTGACTGAATCCTACCAATTTTCAAGACAATATTCATTGCCTTTCTGATTAAATTCATTCTCATTTTCAGAACAAGCAACTTAATGTCATCATGACTGTAGGTCGTCTTGAAGATGCCACTAATCTGTTTGTCTCCCACTCACCAACCCATCATCAAGAGAAAAACACTGAAATCCCAACACTTGTGACTTCATAGGGTTTTTTTCTGCAGCCATTGTTGTGTTCCTACCAGAGCAATCCAAGTCCTCTTTTCTTCTGTTGTTCTAAATCCAAGGTCTTAGTCCTCCATTTTTCACTTCTGGAATGAAGTGCACATTGTTCTTCCTCAGAATTCTGCCTTGTGTAGGTGAAGATGTTGAGAGGAACACCACCGAGCCATACCTTGGCAGAAACTGAATTTCTCTGTCAGCAAGATAATCACACTTTTCCTATTCTTTTTCCTGAGGGGTGGGCATGCATGATAATATTTTATAAAACAAAATCAGGTACACTGGATATCAAGATAAATCACAGTGGCTATTTTTGCACAACATGCTAAACCACAAACTAGCCAGCTACATTAGAGCTTAGTGTTTTCTGGAAGTGAAATCCTTGCGGTTAGTTGATAATTTAGTGGCTGGGTTCACACGGCATGCTAAAACTGGTTACTGAGTTAATCCGTTTTCTGGGTTTGCGCAATACATTGAACCATTAAACACACTAAGTCATATTCATACACACACATGCTCACGTAACCCCCAAACAAGATTAAAACTAAAATTAACTAAAGTTAATCTTTTGGGTGAATGCAGCTATTAGGTTTATAACTGACCTATATAAAAATGATAGGAGAACGCAGCCCATGTATCATGCAAACCCAGAAAAAATGGACTGATTCAGTAAATTATGGTTCAATTAAACATGGGCGTGTGAGGTTGTATCCAACCATACAGGCCAGTTGTTTAATGATGGTTTGGAGCAAACCATCATTGGCTGGGTTCCCACAGCATTCTAAACCATAAATCAGAGTTTATAACCACAGTGGTTGGCTTTACAGAGCATGTTCAAACACAGCCATACCAGATATAAAAGGGCTGAGTACAAGGGCTGAATCCTATCTCTGATTAACCCTCACAAGCTTCACAGGCAGATGCCTACAAGGGAACGCCCGGCCTCATCTGCCAAAGGAGAGCAATTCATACGCCCTTCCAGTTTCTCGTGGGTAGCCCATCCACCCACCAGCATGTCTGAATAGCTTACAAGACAATTTTGATGCGTCCCTTCTCTGCCCTTTGTATGATACTGGTGAAAAGGCAGGGTTTCAGTGAACCAAAAGTAGGTGTAAAGGTCTTGGACAGTGAAATGTTTATAAAAGAGAGCAGGACAGCTGTATGAGCGGGGCTCTATTCCCCCAGCGTGCTTGGCGCAGGCACTCTTTTTAAAAAGAAAAACCGTTCTGGACCAGGAGGAGATATTCTTCATACACCCACTCTTGTCATCCCATGCCAGTTGTTTTCTCCTGCAAGGAACGTTTGGGATACCATCTGGGGCCTGGCAGAAGATATGGAAGGAAGGCAAACCGAGGCCAGGACAAAACTAAAGTTGGTTTTATTGCTGTTTCCTTCGAAACAGAATTAAAATTAAACATAATTAATAAAAAACCCTTCTTCTCCCATCATCTGTATAATAACTCCCTCTTTTGTTCCATTAGGAATTATTCTTTGAGAATGAGATGGGGAGATCGGGGGGGGGGGTGGCCACAGGTCACACATCTTTGTTCTAAGCCACCATGTGTTTGTTTCTTTGGTTTTGCTTTGCCATGTTGCACAAACCTAGTCTCATCCTGGTTTGCTCAACAAACCAGGGTTAGAACAAGTCTTGGCTTAACTTTCAGTGTAAACATATTAGCCTTTGTCTGTGAGAAGCTGCAGGTGACCGAGTGATGGCAGCTGTTGGAAAGCTGTTCCTGTGATTGGCTGTAATGATAAAGCAGTGTCCAGGGGCAACACACATTCACAACGGCAAACCTTGTTTTGTTTTGTTGTGTTGTGCTTCAGATGGAATATGACCCAGTCATCCAAAACATGCTTGAATATCACCTTTCTGGAAAGATTCATTCACAGAACCTTAATTGTGTTGAGGCTGAGCGTTGCTTCAGCCAGATTTGCACATCCCTTTTTTTTTTCAATTCATTTGCACTGAAGAAAGCCACGCTCGGCTGGATTTGCATGCTCATCCACAAGCCGGGATTTACAAGCCACCATGGCTGCATTCACACAACTTGCTGAGCCTCAAGCTTGCATTGTATTTTAGGGGGACGTGTGAAGCTCGTCTTTATGTCCCTTGTATTTTGATGTATGAAGCACAATCGATAATCCCCGGGCACAGCCTGAAGTTCTTCCGCCTGAACAGCACTTCTCTCTGCTCCAGCCGCTCCCTCCCTTAATAGACTTGGTTCACATTTGGGGTGAGAAGCACGGTTGCTTTGTGTCTGTCTTTCCATCCAGATGCTCAAACGCAGAGACCCACTGCAGAAGATAATCAGAGCGCTTTCGGCTTGTGCCCTTTCCAAGCGGCTGGCCGGTGTTGTTTTCCAAAGTCTTTTCTTGACACCTTTATCGCTCATGTGTTCTGCAGTGGCAGGCTCGGCTGGAGTGCGGCACGGCTCTTCAGATCTTGGCTGGTGGCAGAGATCCACCTAATTATAATCATTATCCAGTGGCAGGTAATAACGGGCATCTTTCCCGTGCTAATTTGGAGATGGGAAGGGAATGAAAGACACTTCTGAAAAACAGAAAGGAAGGAAGAATGCAGAAAGGGAGGGGCATGCTTCTAGCCCTCCCCGGGACTGGAATGTTTCACCTTCGGTATTATATTCCCCCTCCTCCAAGGAAGTTATAAAGAGAGTGGGTTTCTGTTTAATAATCTCGGGATCATCCTGGAACGTAAGATCTGGGTTACGTCCCTTACATCCTTGACAGTATATTGGATTTAATGCAGTGTCTCTCGCTGAGATTTAACTTGCGGGTCTCACCAAACCTTGTTTGCTTCACCATGCTTTTTGGCTAAGCCAAAACCACCCGAGTTCCCATGCCACACTAAGACATACCACCATGGTTGGGTTCACCCAAAAGAGCAAGCCGTGTATGGTGGGTTTAGTTTTACCTTAATGTGTTTATGTAACTCTCCCCTTCTCTTTCCAAAGCTTTATCCCCCCTGCTATAAGCAGATTGGCCTCTTGAACCACACAGTTTACATATACCTGTTTAAAAGCTCCTTTCTCCAACCACTGGGAATTCTTGAATTTCTCTCCCTATACACCTAGAAGGGCCAGATCAGGGAAAACAGAATTGTGTGCCTGAGTTCACAAACCACATCAAGCCATGATTCCTTAACATTTCTTATTTAACGAATTACTGTGGGCTGGGTTTGCAAAACAGCTGGGTGACCTTGGGCCAGTCCCTCCCTCTCAGCCCTGGGAAGAAGAAGACGAAGAAGGCAAGGGCCAACCCCTTCTGAAATTGTTGCCTAAGCCCAAATTTATGGTTTGCAGCTCACAATGGCTGAATTCACAAAACAGGCTAAGCCCAAACCAAATATTTGGGCTTAACAAGGTGTGAAACCAGCCTGGGTGTTTGTCCGAACCAGTGTTTCTCAACCTTGGCGACATGAAGATGTGTGGACTTCAACTCCCAGAATTCTCCAGCCAGCCATGCTGGTCCTAGCAACAGCTGGCAAAAAGCTATCAAGGTGATAGACCTAAAAAACAGACGGGGCTTCCACTGCACCATGGTGGGGGGATGTTGACTTTTTTTTTAACCACACTTTGCAGACACCCCTGAGCCTAGGGGTCCCCCAAAGCAGCTAGCCTGCAAAAAAAAACAAGTTTCAAATCAAAGAATGGGGGCTGTCATCTCTAGCAGAAGAGAAATAAAGAGTTGGGCCAAGGTAGGAGGCTGCCATAATTAGAAACAGCCCATAATTTCCCTGCTGGGCATCGAGAGCATTCCATCTCCCTTATCCAGCTGGCTCACTCGTCTGCACAGCCTTCCTTTTTCGCTTCATGGACTGTCCAGTAAGTACTTTAATAGTAATAATAATAATAAAAAAGTCTGCATTATGTTCTCTGGCATGGATAATGTTGCTCCGAAATCTGTATTTCGGTTTCCGGAATGGTGTTCTTTGGTGTGAATGAGGCATCTGTTTGTTATGTTCCAGGGGCTTGAGAAGGTCTTTCCATTTTTCTCTCAGGGATGTGGGGTGAGCTAGGCTGCTGAAGAGCTAGTTTGCTGTAGCAGTTGTGGGACTGTTGTAGTAGGCACTGGGCTAGGAAGTGGGAGACGGGGAGTTCGAGTCCTGCTTGAGGCGCAAAGCCAGCTGGGTGACCTCAGGCCAGTCCCTCCCTCTCAGCCCTGGGAAGAAGAAGTCAAACACAAGGGCCAACCCCTTCTGAAAATATTGCCTAGAAAACCACAGGGACTTGTCACTGGGAGTCAAGACTGCCTTGAAGGCCCCAAAAAACAAAAAAGAAAACCCATTGAAGGCACCAGAGCAGTGTTTCTCAACCGCGACGACTTGAAGACGTGTGGGCTTCAGCTCCCAGAATTCCCATTGGGGAATCCCCATGGCTGGCTGGGGAATTCTGGGAGTTGTAGTCCACACGTCTTCAAGTCATCGAGGTTGAGAAACACTGCGCCAGAGGGTGCTGCTGTTCTCTGTGACGGGTCTTCCCGTGGCTCTGCAGCCTCCCTGGCCCCTCTTCCTTCCCCATCTGAAAAGCCCTGGGGGAGGAGGCCCTTCTGAAGCTCCCTTGTGCACCCATGGAAGGGGGAGAAGCCAGGGAGGAAACTGTACAAATCGAAAAGCAGGGCACACGCACACACGCACCCAGACCCCCCTCAGCCGTCTTGCCAGGGCGCTTTCGAACCAGCCGTCATCAATGCAGGACCCTGGATTTGCAATAAACGGGAAAAGAAAAAGGGGGGGGGAAACCCACAGCTGTTTATTTTCAAGCCCCCAAGCGCTGCGCATACTGCTGGTGGGGAGGCTTGCTTGTTATTTTTATGTTCCAGCTGCCGTGGCTATGAGATATCTCTCTAGCTGTTCCCTTGCTTGCCGCCAAGGCTGGCCTTAGAACAAATAAATAGCACCCTGGGTGAGCGCCTCTCCTCCCCCTCCGCCAGTGCTGCGGTGTTGCCAACTTGCGTGACTTGTGCAGAATCGCAAACTCAGTCAAAGGAAAGCCGTGTCGGGCTAAGCTTAAGCTAGAAGAAACAATACCCGATTGGTGACCGAGAGCGGAACATCCTTGGCGTCTCCGGATGGCTTGAGCGGTTCGCTGGCAGAACGCTTTGGAACATCAGGCCTGCTGGTGGCCTGCATGCTGCTGGTTGCCCACTCTGGCGGGCACATCAGCAGCCGAGGCGGTGGCATGACAGTTTTCTGGAAGGGAGAGCAGAGGTCTAAAGAGGCCCACGGGCTCCCTTCCTCTCCCTCTCCCCAGGCGTGCTCCTGCAGGGCCAGGTTTTCTGCCCACCTGACTCCGGTGGGGAAGAAGAAGGGAACCAGCTTTGCCTTCAGAGGTACCAGTAGCTTGTGAGCAAAGGTTGCCGTATGTCTCCATGGAGACAAGACAGCAAGGCAGACACTGCGTGTGTAGATCTAAGGTTAAAGCTGATTAGCAAATGTCAGTGGGATCATGTCAGCAGTGTTTCTAGGACTGCCCTCCATCCGCCTTGGCATGGGTCCCTGTCAGAAAGGAAAACTCAGCAGGCTGGAGCTGGCTGAAAGGAAAGAA